CAAATTATTGTACTTTTTTAATGTATGGGATTCGAAAAAGTCGAGACCTAAACTTCAATATTTCCAAAATTAAGAGATCCTTGAATCTATTGACTTAAATAAAGGAAGAACAAGTAAGAAAGTCTAGGTTCGGGCGGAGCCGAACATTAAATACCCGGCGCAAGTATAAATACCCGGCGCTAGATGGTAAGCCGGGGTGTACCAATTTTGAGTTAAATTTCGAAATATTGCAGATTCAAGCATTTCTGAAATTTACCGTTAAGTATATGAAAAGCGGCCGTAATTTTAGTCCGATTTCAATAATTTTCAACGTTTTGCTTTTATGTGGCAAGCACAATAAAAATACCGAGTTTGGTACAAATTGGTAGAACGGTTACCGATATACATATATGTGATCATAAGTGGGCGGTGCCACGCCCATTTTCCAAAATTTTACCATAAACGTATTTCTTGGTAAAGAATTGTTGCAAGCATCAATTTTGAATAAATTAGCTTTAATATTTACTGATTTATCGAAGATTTTGCATTTCTCTAAATTACCGTTATATGGGATGTGGGCGTGGTTATTGTCCGATTTTAAAAATTTTCGGCCATTTGGTATGCTGTACCAGGACCAACAACTGTGCCAAGTTTGGAAGAAATTGGTGCAGCGGTTACCAAGATATACACATGTAACCATAAGTGGGCGTGGCTACGCCCATTTTCCAAAAATTTATAATATTCTTATTTTTCGTCTAAAATTTATTGTAAATATCAATTTTGAGTGAATAATCTTCAGTAGTTACTAAAATATCGCAGTTTTCGTATTTCTGGAAATTACCGTTATATGGGAAGTGGGCGTGGTTACAGTCTCATTTCGCCCATTTTCAATACCAACCTGCCTTGGATTAATGGAAACCTACATACCAAATTTCGTTGAGATATCTCAATTTTTGCCCGAGTTATCGTGTACACGGACAGACAGACATGGCTTAATCGACTTCTCTATTCATTCTGAGCATTTATGTATACATTTGTCTATATCTATCTCGATTCCTTTTGGCTGTTACAAACAACCGTTATGTGAACAAAATTAATATACCCTTGTGCACAAGTGCGCTCGGGTATAAAAATACAAAACCTATCTAAATACAAGGTTACTCAACTAAATGCTTTTGCTTCCTATCTTTTTTCGTTCCAGGTCTTCATCTAACTAACTCTTCCTTGGTGTTTCAGGTGAAATAACTCTTATCTCCTGTGAGCACTGCATGTGCTGAAATGCTACTTCTATTGTAGTTGCTTTGTGAAACGCTGTAAACTTGACCAAAGATTGGGCCTGGAGCCCAACATATTAAACATAACTTTAAATATCTTCAAAAGTAGACGAATAGTATAAGGAAAATATGAATGTGACAACAGTTTCCACTGGCACTAGCACTGGTACCATTCACGCAACACAACAAACGACCAAAACATACAAAATTGAGATGTTGGATGATGGCCAGCTGAGCATGGCCTCAGATGATGACGACGATGACTTAATTAACAGTGACGACAGTCTTTATGATGACGCCGACTTGGCGCATATAACAGTGCAGGATGATGTGGCAAATCAATTGGCAGCAGCCGGTCCAGTAGGTGTGGCAGCGGCAGCGGCGATTGCATCATCGAAGAAGCGAAAACGTGCACATTCGTTTGAAACGAATCCGTCGGTGCGCAAAAGACAGCAAAATCGTTTGTTGCGAAAACTCCGCGGCATCATCTACGAGTTTACTGGTCGCGTGGGCAAGCAAGCTGTGGTGCTGGTGGCCACACCTGGGAAACCAAATACCAGCTACAAAGTGTTTGGCGCAAAACCACTAGAGGATGTGGTGCGAAATCTCAAGAACATTGTTATGGACGAATTAGAGAATGCTTTGGCCCAACAGGCTCCACCGCCACCACAAGAGGACCCATCACTTTTCGAGTTACCCCCTTTGATTATCGATGGCATACCGACTCCCGTGGAGAAAATGACACAGGCACAGCTGCGCGCTTTTATTCCCTTAATGTTGAAGTATTCGACAGGTCGTGGCAAGCCTGGCTGGGGACGTGAGTCGACCCGTCCTCCATGGTGGCCAAAGGAATTGCCTTGGGCAAATGTACGCATGGATGCACGCTCGGAAGATGACAAGCAGAAGGTGAGAGTGCGTCATCCCACTGCCAACCATATTGGCTTTTTGAATTATAATGCTTTTTTCCATATGCAGATCAGCTGGACGCATGCACTACGAAAAATCGTCATCAATTGCTACAAATACCATGGTCGAGAGGATTTGCTACCCACATTTGCCGATGATGACGATAAGATTGAAATGTTGGAAGGCGAAGAGGACGATGAAATGGATGAGCATGAACCCTCGACGACAACAACAACTGTACAAACGGTAGCTAATGCTGCAACGAATACAACAAATGTGAGTATGGTACTTTGGTAATAAACACATACATTAGAGAATTCCGATATTTATTTAAAGACGCTTCTCAATCGAAATTTTTCGACAACAAAAACTATTACAATATTTTTACTTAGTACGGTTTATATTAAGTAAATGCATTTAAACAAAACCATTTGGCATAAAGGCATCGAAAATTACGATAATAAGTTTGAAGGGTAACCCGAAGCGGCTAAAAAACTATATAAAAAAGAACACTTAACAATACATACTGGTCAATCGTGTTAGATCGGCTATCGAAATTGAATATCTTGATTTGCAGCTAAAAAATGGCACTTGTTGATAAATCCAGTCCAAGTCGTTACCCTAATACAGAAAGGTCCTAACCAAATTTCCTCCTAATCCAGCTTTGCACAAAAGTAGCAAATTAATTACAGTATTCAATAAAAAACAACAGAACATATCGCTCATATAATTCAATAGTGTCGTAATCCAAAAGAAAAGATATAAATTTTTAGTTTAGTATGCAGAAATTACCGGTACCTCTTCTTCTATGTTGTATACAAATTTCATAGCTGTATCGATTACCAGTAGAATAAAATATGTATTCACTTTTACTATAACAATAACAACAGATTGACGCTTACACATACGTTAGTGTTTGGAGGAGGAGCCTCCGATTTGTGATGTGCGCCTTGCTGTTGTCACACGAAGGGGACCTACAGTTTTACGCCGACTCCGAACGGCGATCGTATTTTTATGAGAAGCGGTTTTTCATCGCAGAAATACACTCTGAGGTTTGCCATTGCCTGCCAAGGGGCGACTGCTGTTCAGAAAAAACCTATCCTCTACATTCTTTTGCGATGTCTACTGTTTTTACTATGGGTATATGTAAATTCAAAACTTTAAAGCCGTTTTTATTGAGTTTTGATTTTTGAGTTATGACACTATTGAAGTAAATGAGCGATGTATATAAAGAACTTAAATTTTTATAAAGTTCTTTACTTACTTTGTAATGAAACAAGAATTTTAGATGTGGCCTCTATGAAAATACATACGAGTATATGCATACCGGTCCGATTTCTTTCTTTCAAATATTGAACTTACAGTCAGTCAATAAAGTTTTGGTACAGCGGGATATTTGCAATAGGGCAACTGGTGTTCGATAACACATGCTTGCGAAATTTTAATTTTGTTTCCACCCTCCAATAATTATGCTCTTCTTTTGAATATCTAGGTATGTTAAATTAAAATGCATCTTTTCTTCCAGAAGTCGAGATGNTTTGAAGGGTAACCCGAAGCGGCTAAAAAACTATATAAAAAAGAACACTTAACAATACATACTGGTCAATCGTGTTAGATCGGCTATCGAAATTGAATATCTTGATTTGCAGCTAAAAAATGGCACTTGTTGATAAATCCAGTCCAAGTCGTTACCCTAATACAGAAAGGTCCTAACCAAATTTCCTCCTAATCCAGCTTTGCACAAAAGTAGCAAATTAATTACAGTATTCAATAAAAAACAACAGAACATATCGCTCATATAATTCAATAGTGTCGTAATCAAAAAGAAAAGATGTAAATTTTTAGTTTAGTATGCAGAAATTACCGGTACCTCTTCTTCTATGTTGTATACAAATTTCATAGCTGTATCGATTACCAGTAGAATAAAATATGTATTCACTTTTACTATAACAATAACAACAGATTGACGCTTACACATACGTTAGTGTTTGGAGGAGGAGCCTCCGATTTGTGATGTGCGCCTTGCTGTTGTCACACGAAGGGGACCTACAGTTTTACGCCGACTCCGAACGGCGATCGTATTTTTATGAGAAGCGGTTTTTCATCGCAGAAATACACTCGGAGGTTTGCCATTGCCTGCCAAGGGGCGACTGCTGTTCAGAAAAAACCTATCCTCTACATTCTTTTGCGATGTCTACTGTTTTTACTATGGGTATATGTAAATTCAAAACTTTAAAGCCGTTTTTATTGAGTTTTGATTTTTGAGTTATGACACTATTGAAGTAAATGAGCGATGTATATAAAGAACTTAAATTTTTATTAAGTTCTTTACTTACTTTGTAATGAAACAAGAATTTTAGATGTGGCCTCTATGAAAATACATACGAGTATATGCATACCGGTCCGATTTCTTTCTTTCAAATATTGAACTTACAGTCAGTCAATAAAGTTTTGGTACAGCGGGATATTTGCAATAGGGCAACTGGTGTTCGATAACACATGCTTGCGAAATTTTAATTTTGTTTCCACCCTCCAATAATGATGCTCTTCTTTTGAATATCTAGGTATGTTAAATTAAAATGCATCTTTGGTTTTCTTCCAGAAGTCGAGATGTTTTTTTTTACTGATGGCATGTATATTTTAGGTATTCTAGCAATTTGCATGAAGCCAACAATTAATTAATTCAGAATTGAATTTCCACTTAAAAACAACATTATTAGTAAAAAATGCTCATAATCAGACTAAGTAAATCAGAAATATCTAAATGGTTTCGAATTTAATTTTGCACAATTTTGATGTTTGGGGGGTTTGTTGTAGAATTAACAATGTTTTTATAAAAATTAGCGAAAAACAAAATATTTAAAAAGAGTTGCCCGTATTGCAAAAAACTCTCTGTACCTAAACTTTATTGATTGACTATATGTGATCACCAGGGAACGGATTTTTAGGACCTAAAAACCTATAAAAAAGGCAAAATAAAATAGCGGAATAGGCAGGAAAAGGTACTAGAAATCGCGAAAATGCAAAATAAGGCACTAAAAAAGACAAAAACCGAAAAATAATCAAAAATACTTTTATTTTCGAAATGTTTACAAGTAAAAAGAGAAAAACTATGAAAAATTTGTACTTTGAATCTTTGAGTTTCGAGTTTTTAACTCACTAAACTTTAATCTCTATAGTTGTAGTAACATTGAACCACAAGATGCATTTTGCAGTTTTCTGCCAGCATTTTCATTATTATATACTAAACGTGCGCTCGAAGTGAGTTGATACAAGTGCCGCCCAATGTAAATATGGAACGTTTAAAGCTTTCATATTATCAGGAATAAGAGCTTTTTCCTTGCCCTTTACAATTAAAGGTGGAAAATGCAAAAAAAAGGCAAATGTCTTAAAAACAGGCAACATCAAATGTGTATATATGGAATCAGGGAAAGCTAAATCGTGGACATTCTTAATCGAATATACTCGTATCTCTTTAGCAGAAAAAAGGCAATTTCCATAAAATCCGTTCCCTGGTGATCACTATATTTGTCAGCTGCTTCTGCCACTCATTTTTACCATGTTTAGGCGTTTTGTGGTTGATATTTTGCTGCTTTTGTCGACTAACTTGAAAATAGGTTTCAATACTGTAACAAGGAAAAGCGCAAAAATACAAATTTTCAGTGATTTATTTTTGCTGATAAAGTTTGTTTAAATCTCCTAATAGGTCGTAGTGAAATGTATCGCAAATAATAAGTGTAAAGATGCCAGTGCAAAACTTAGTTCCATGTTTTCTTTGTATTGTTAATATATTATTGACGCCACATAAAAAAATAGATCTTAGCTGCCTTTTGCATATTTACCTAATAAATAAGTGTGACGTGCACAGTGTTTTTCTTTTTATTGAAAGATTTTGCATTGACTTGGTAATGATCTTCATTTAATTTTAGTAATAAATTATGCGACTTACTGTGAACTATTGCAAATTGAGCGTTGGGCTAAATTTTGATAATCAGTTTATGAAAATAAAGCGAAACTAACATGTAATTTTTACTTTGAAATATTCATCTTTTAAGATTTTTATCATAAATTTGCTTGGACTTTATTGAAAATTTTTGCAACATGTAAAACAGATGAGTTTTCTGCCCGTTACATCTGATTGTATTCCTATCACTATAACTTTATAGCAGCTGTTACAAGTCTACACCAAACTATGAAAAGTTTAATAACACTCGTTTACAGCAAAAATGTTCTATGGATGCCACTAGCCAATTCCTATGTAGAACACACTTCTCAGAAACTGTCAGGTCTATCGAAAAGTGATGTATATACGGTTTATGGAGAATTTTATTTGCTTTCATATGCCGTATCTCTTATTACGATTATTTAATTGGTTCGTAAGATATATGCTATGATGAAGTGGAATCTCTTTTTTTTTTTTAAAGCTGAATAACGGTAAATTGCAAATATCTCGAAAACGCATCCATAAAAAAATTAACTCGATTTTCGGAATNATTGGTTCGTAAGATATATGCTATGATGAAGTGGAATCTCTTTTTTTTTTAAAGCTGAATAACAGTAAATTGCAAATATCTCGAAAACGTATCCATAAAAAAATTAACTCGATTTTCGGAATCAGCGAGCGATTCTACATATAAATTGGATAGTGGCGTCTGGAGAACAAAATCAAAATTAAAATTTGTGACCCCTGTAATCATTGGGAATGTTTTTTTTTAGAAAATATCTATGCGAGCATTTTCTATACACCATTGGTACAGAAACAGAGATAAATGCGTTAACATTTTTGTATCTAAAATAACGAAGTTGTAGAAACCACCGGATGTGCTTGTGATAGTACTTTAGATGAACTTATCTCCGTCATACCTTAGTTTTGAACACAATTTTTAAGATATATGTATGTAGTTTCAATAAGCAATGAGCATTTAGTACAGAGTTTTCCAATTTGATTTTGCAGAAGATTTGTTTTCAGCGCAAATTTTACTCTGCAAACATACATATTTCTTATTATTTCCATATCTTCTCAAGTACAAAGATGCAAAAACAATTTAAATACTAGTCTATTAGGATTTCCAGAAGATTTAAAACAATATAATATTACAGTCACTTACAGTGACTCTCGCAAAAACTAGAATAAAACCTGAGTTCTTTCGGTGCATATTTTAAGTTAATAAACATAAATGCTTTTGCAGTAAAGTTAAATAAAAACAAGTAAGAAAGTCTAAGTTCGGGCGGAGCCGAACATTAAATACCCGGCGCAAGTATTAAATATATGATTTTCACCTTTCCGAAAGCTACCGCTACATGGTAAGCCGGTGTGTATCAATTCTGAGTAAATTAGCGTCCTTAAATTTCGAAATATTGANTTTTCATTCTGATCATTTATGTATACATTTGTCTATATCTATCTCGATTCGTTTTGCCTGTTACAAACAACCGTTATGTGAACAAAGTTATAATACCCTTGTGCACAAGTGCGCTCGCGTATAATTAGTACGAATGTAACGTTGTCGGTCAAATAATCGACGATATATACTTATAATATATGTATATATATATAATTTTACCAGATTTTCGTATGCCAAATTTATTTATTTTTCACTATGAAATCTTGACAGTAAGAGACAATGTCAGCCGCGGTTTCGCTGTTAGATACAGATAGATTTTTTTTAAAGCAGCCGAATAGTTTATTTGTATAGATAGAATCATGAAGATTAGGAGCAAATGCCTAAATCATTGCGTCTCAAAATAGATTTTGTTTAGATTCCTTCCCTAATAATCCTAAATGTAATTCACATAAGTTGCTTGAACCCCTAAATAAAACTTAATTTTTTATGCAACTATTAGGATCACTTAGAAAAACAAAAATATCAGAAATGCTCCTTCTATACTAAGCTAGCGACACGTATGAATGTATAGTCATGAATAAAAATTAAAGAACGTAGTAAAGTTCAACATATTATAAACTTAGGGGGTTCAACAAAATATTTTTAAGCTGACATAATTAGCTCTAATTATACCCTAGAAATTTCGTAAAAGCATTTTAACCACTTTTTTACATATATAAATTGTAAATCTGTAAATCGTTCCACTAATGTATTATCAATCGATACCCTGCAGCAAGTAAATGTCGTAAAGATCAACAGCGCTGGTACGGTTATCTCGACACACACGGCTAGCGCACAGACACATGGAAATTCTGTGCCGACAATCATTCAAAGCACCAACAATCAACACATAACAACCACCGCAACACTCCCGGCATCGACTAAGATCGAAATTTGTACTGCACCCGTACAAACAACCAACCAGGCACAGCAAGCAAATGTCGCGGCCGCGCAGAATATTGCAAACGCGCAGGTTTGCATCGAACCGCTGACTTTGGGCGATGTTGATGTTCGTACTAACAAACAAGTAGCAATTACCGAAGATGCGATTTTTGATGTTGTGCGCCTTTCGTTATTCCTTATTGCTTTCTTTAGTTCCATTGTTTAGCTTTGGCTATTTTTATGTTATTGCATTATTAACAAATGACAATTTTTTACCCCCCTNTTTGGCTATTTTTATGTTATTGCATTATTAACAAATGACAATTTTTTACCTCCCCCCCTTTTGTTCAGCCTATTAAGAAATTTACTTAATATTTATTAAAGCATTTGTGTTTTTTTGTAGCTCAGAGTTTTTATTATTATTTATCTTGGTTGCACTCATAAACCCACAAATTAGCCATATTAGGCAACTTTTTTGAGCTTGGTTTCATTTTCATTTACAGTATTCCACGCAAACAGTGCTTTCTACAATACAAAATGCTGACGGCACAGTGTCTCTCATTCAAGTGGATCCAAATAATCCAATAATAACTCTACCCGATGGTACAACGGCACAAGTGCAAGGAGTGGCTACGGTATGTTCATACTAATTAAAATATTTCAATGTGTCATGTGACATTATATTGCAGCTGCATCAAGGTGAAGGCGGTGCTACTATACAGACTGTACAGAGTTTGGGCGATGTCAACGGTCATGAAAATATGACTGTCGATTTGACAGAGGCGACAGTGGCTCAGGATGGTCAGATATATATTACTGCTGAGGATGGTCAAGGTATGGGTTATGCAGATTACGATAACTTACATATACATACATCTACCATCAAATTATCCTAAAAGCTCAACTTCACAATATGCATGCAATACGATTAAGAGTGAAGGAAGTGAAGTGAATGAAGCTTTGCTGTATTAAAATCTTCCCTAAATTTTAGGAAACTATTTATATGTATTGAATATACGGAAATACATATTGAAAAAGTTTAATTGTGGTTTTACCATTTTATTTTCCCCCAGGTTACCCTGTGTCTGTGAGCAACATGATAACCGTGCCAGTTTCCGCCTCAATGTATCAATCCATGATGGCCAACATACAACAAATTCATACGAATGGTGATGGCACAGTGTGCATCACACCAATGCAGGTAGATTCTCATGCCAATAGTAGCAATAGTAGAAGCAACAATAACAAAATGAATAATACCAACAATAGTAGAAATCACTATCAATGTTATACTTTAACAGCAGCGCCTGGTGGGCTGGGTGCGCGCTTAATTGCAACAGCTCCAACTTCAGCCTTGCCATCGACTGTAAATCAAAGCCAAACAAATATAGCCAATAATAATGCAACAAATTGCCAAATATTTAATCAGTCTAATTTAAGTAATACCCCTTCTAGTCAAAGCAGCCGCGCCGACCACAACCAGCACCATCATCAACGTCAGCAGCAATTGCAGGCCATTCCGGCTGCTGCGAAAATTTTCATCAACGCCGCTAGCTTTGCCACTGTTAACAATAATAACTCCATTAGCACTAACAATAATAATAAATTCGGAAATATAGCCACTGCAGCTGCCGTGTTGCCACTATCATTACCAATTATGGTAGCCACAGCCGGCCTTCCTGCAACAGTCAGTAATGCAAGTGTTGGCGACACTAATCGGTCCGGGCCAGCTTTGACCGGAGGCGATGCTGATACGAGTTCCTCTAAAACCACGACCACTTCTACTATTCGGAAAAGGGGGGCAAACAAGCGCCGCAAACAAACTTTCGCCAAAGTTTCGCCCGTTAAACTTGAAAGTAGTGGCGATTCCAGTGGCGAAACGCTACTACCGTCCAATTTACAATTTTTAGATGAGGAAGCAGATGGACAAGAAATTAGTGTGCAGGAAATCGCAACGGATGCTGGAGATGGTGCTGGCGATGGTAGAGGCTCTGAGGCAAATAGAGGCACATTGAGCGTCTCTAAAAAAATTATAAAAATAGAAAATTTAGAGAACTAATAAAAAAGTAAAAAATGCAACTGGTGATTGTATAAAATGCACNGATGGTGCTGGCGATGGTAGAGGCTCTGAGGCAAATAGAGGCACATTGAGTGTCTCTAAAAAAATTATAAAAATAGAAAATTTAGAGAACTAATTTAAAAGTAAAAAATGCAACTGGTGATTGTATAAAATGCACCTATTTTAAAACGGTGTTGTTGAAGTGCTTGCATTTCAAAAAAAAAAAAAGTTTATATATGTATACATATATGTATATTAATAAAAACACGCATACAATTTGTATCTAGTCAACATACATAATTACCAAACTGCAAACACTAAGTAGGCGCACATAAAACTAGGTTTAGTGTTGATAAATGTAAAATGGTTAACAATGTCTAAATTAACCGCGAAGTACCTTTTGAAATTTCAAAATAGTGAACGAAGTCCCATGAGTCCGAAATGAATTATGAACATTTTGAATTCGGATTCGATTTGCTTCAAATTGTAGCATTTGTGAACATACTTGCCATTGTTGTTTAATTTTGTTTGTTACATTTTTTGTTTGTTACTACGTAGTTCAATATAATTTACATTTATGATTTGAATGTAATTATACACTTCGCATTGCATAAAATTGTTGCAAATCTTCTTTTTTATTGTATTTTTTCATATGTATATTAAAGTATACATACATCTACACATACATATAAGCACATACATATGTATATATATGCTTTTATTGATTAAATTCGTAGATTTTAAGTTGCTTACACTTACCATTTAACGTTTAATTTTTAATTAGTAACCAAAGCTTATGTAACGAACCCACATTTAAATGAAAATTAGAAATGTTCCTAGCGTATATGTATAATAACATAAAAAAAACGAATTGATCGTTAATGAACCCACTTGCTAATGTGAAACAAAACCAAAAATTAATTTAGATGATTANTAAAAAAAAAAACGAATTGATCGTTAATGAACCCACTTGCTAATGTGAAACAAAACCAAAAATTAATTTAGATGATTGGTCATTGTATTCTATATATGTATGCATGTATGAATATATACATATCATATTTAATATATTTTCGAACATCTCAAATGCTAGGAAAAAATATATATGTAGGCTGTTAAGATGTGTAATCTAGTATAAAAAAAAACTTAGAAGCTTTAAAACCTTCCCGCCGTTAAAGCATTAAAAAAATGTTTCAAAATACAAATAGCAAACATACTTATACATATTCTACCCTACCTACATTTAGTTCATACACTCTTGAAATTTTTTGCTGCATACTTTTGCACTACTAACATTTTTACAGATATAAGATGAGATGAAAAATCTGCACAATTTAGAGCGTTTAAAGTACAAAACCGCGTGTTAAGTTAATGCTAAACCTCGTATATGAGGTGTCTTATTTCTAAATGGTTCTCTCTTTTATCCCTAATTATCTCTACCTTTTATTTAAATATCTATATTTTGGTATGAATGGATAAAGCTCGATCCAGAAGCTTCCGATGAGCAAATCTCATTTTTGGCACAAATGTCAGTTGCGAGGTTTTGCGGAACCACGATACGTGGTGTTGCACTTTAAACGACAATTTGCATAAAACAAAAAAAAAATCAAATAAAAATAAGAAAGTCTTCTTCACTCAATAACAAAGGCTGACTTTATAACTGTAATATCAATGAATACGTCAAAAGCATCATGCCCCTTTCACACGCTTCGGTTCCTGGTTACGCGGTGGTCGAATTGCCGGCGCAAAATATATGCAACCGAAAACCGGCATGTGTGAAAGCAAAAAAATTGCTGAACATAAGTTTTGCTCTGGTCAACCGGCCCGGGTAACTGGAAACGGCATTAAGAGTATTTTTTAACTATGCGTTGTGTTTTAAAATATGTTGAGCTGGTAGTCACAGCGCATCTGGCAAGTAAACACGGCACCACTAATAAAGTTGGATGTTTATTTGCCGTGCGAGGAAGATGAGAATGAGACAGAGCAAATGTCAAATATGTCAACGTACATAAAAAGTGTTATTAACGTAAAAATTAACTTTCCTTATTTTTGCCTTGATTCCAACTTCGTTGTATGAACACCGCAGTCAAACTGTATATGTATACCCTAAATTTAGCATTTCCATCTTGTGTCATTATAATTTGCTATTGTAGAACTTTTTTTTCGCATTGGCCCCTTTGTCACATAGAAAAAATTTCATCAAAAACCATTTAACAAAAATTTCATGAACATATGTGCATTTCCCAAAAAACGTAAACCGAAAATGCAAGTAAATGAATTCAAACGGTTTTATAACTTTAAAGAACTGAAAAAATTAAATAAAAAATTAAATTTAGTATGTGTTACTAGTAAAAATATTGTATGGGAGAAAAATATGTCACGTCCGATATGTCACGTCCGTTACCAGATTTTAATTTAAATTAAATCAACAACGAATTGCTCCTGATTAAAAATAAATTGGTTGTAACGGCCCATAATTTGACTTTATTTAAAGAAGGTTTAATAAAGGGAACCTTACAGGATTCGCTGAGTTTTGCTTATTTTTACATGTACTCTGAAATCACTTCTGTTTTTGTTATGCTCTCCTTTTCATCGATTTTCTCGACGTCAGTGTTCCAAGCGCACCTAATTTTTTTGTCAATCAAGGGACGGTATAAAAGCTACCCAACGGCAAATTTTTTTCACAAGTGACTTCAGTTTTCGTATGATTTATTTAACTTTAAAGTCGTATGATTGTCGCGTCCGTAATCCAGGATATGCCCATATGTATATGAACAAAAATTTCAAGTGTATGAACTATATAAATATATTTCAATATTAAAGTACGAATTTAAATATATGCATATATGTACATAGTATCTACAATCATACATATGCCATGATACAGTTTCCACCTCCAGGTGGAAAGTCATCGGTGTATTTTTCTTAAAGCAATTATTGTCACACTTCCTGCGAATGAAATATTACATAAATTACTTTTGCTATGAATATCTTAGCGACCTACTAAAAGTGCAATTTTGTATAGTAATGGGCCTTGATAGTAATAAAAACACCGTAGAGAACAATTAACTGTAAACTTTCTCCTGCTTACAAATTAAAAATAACATAGAAAATTCAATTGAAACTTGTTTCAAGTGGTACTGTTTCACACGCTCCTTTTACCGCACAGCCAGATTGCTGGCTCAAAGTGTATGTGAAGTTCTGAGGGCTTTCACACAAGCCGGCCCCCTGTGTGCGGGCAAACCGGCTGCCGGCTATGAAGCGACAGGAACGTGTGAAACGGTTCTTAACGCGGTAAATACGTAGGTAGCGGCGATAAGGTACGAAGCAGGAGCATTTTTCAGCTTCTTATTTTCCTATGACCTTTCTTAATGCTTAATTCTTAATTTTTGTCGCCTTTGCGACTCTAAATCCTCTTACCGGTAGGGATCCTCTTTTCACGATGTTTATTTGGGCACTCCGCACATTAGGCGAGTAGTTATAGTAGTGTAATCGTTTCGGTATACTAAAATATGAAGCTTTTATGCCGAAAACAGATCGCTGATTTGCCGCAAGAGAGCTTTAAAGTTTACTGTTCACATACGCTCCCATAGTAAGAATGGCAAATTTTCTTCTAATGAGCTGTGGTTAATCGATACAGATATGGTATTTTTACACAACGTAGAATAATATTTTAATGAAGCTCCATATGTTACGATTCATAAACATGCTTTCGCCAAATCATAAAATCTGAATGAATCGAAGCGCCAAACACTAGCATTGAAATAGATTTTTGTTAACATTTTTGTTTTAGAAATAAATTTCTGTAAAATCATTTTACATTTAAACGGGAAATTAAAAGAAATTTTTGCAATAAGTGACTGATGCGTAGTTAAAAAATAAATGTATTTGCCTTGTATGTGTATATTAGCTGGTGACTTATGTACAATGCGCAATTTGCAGAAGTCGGGTCGTACTATGATTAGGAGCGTAATGGGCGGAGCGCCATAGAATAGTAAAATGTGCTAATTTTTATTGAATTTATGTTACTCAATTACTGTTTTATTTCAAATTTATACACGTAATGTTTTTTTTTTGTTTAAACATATATTTAGAAAATATTTAAGCTTAAATATAATCAAAATATATTTTCGGTTAAACTGTTTTTATTTACATTTGTATGTAGTTCAAATTATGAGTGTAATTTTTAATCTTGATTACTGTAAATATTCATATAGCTAATACCAAAATATTTTATTTGAATTGCAATAAATGCCACGCATAATCCCCATTATGTTTGTGTTTTTCATTATGAATTCTTTGTTTTCTTATGATTTTTTTAAGCGGAAAACTATTGTACGTAAGTTTGTAGCTAGCTGTTTGTTTAAATTTATAATTATTTCTGTTGGTTTTTATTTGCAGTAAATGAGTATGGAGTGTCAAACCTTAATTTTCACACGAAAAATGTGCGCTACAACGGTTGTGTATACATTTTTTTCTCTAGAAAACATATATTTAACACACATATAACATAAATTTTACAAATAATATTTATATACATTTTATAATATATCTTACAGGTGGAAAACGGCGACCAGTTGGAAACCATAACCGTTTCTCCGGGCATGCAGCAGATGTTAATTCAAGGTGCGCCAGGTACCGAACCACAAGTGCTGCAAGTCGTAAGTCTCAAAGATGCAACACTCCTTACCAAAGCAATGGAAGCTATTACCGGGGGAAATGTTAAGGCTGAGGATACCATAATAATGGAGCAATAAGTTACTTACAACAGTAAAACACTTATACGCCAGGAGTAATTGTCATTTTACAATACATATGTTTATTTTTTTATAATACACCTGCGGTCTAAATAATAGCAGTGCGACATTTTTTTTTGTTTCTTTAATGTTCAATAATATTTTATAAAAGAATAGCTAATTATATAAAAGAAACCATATTCCTACCTAAATTTCAATCAAAATTTCAATCNTTTTTTTTTGTTTAAACATATATTTAGAAAATATTTAAGCTTAAATATAATCAAAATATATTTTCGGTTAAACTGTTTTTATTTACATTTGTATGTAGTTCAAATTATGAGTGTAATTTTTAATCTTGATTACTGTAAATATTCATATAGCTAATACCAAAATATTTTATTTGAATTGCAATAAATGCCACGCATAATCCCCATTATGTTTGTGTTTTTCATTATGAATTCTTTGTTTTCTTATGATTTTTTTAAGCGGAAAACTATTGTACGTAAGTTTGTAGCTAGCTGTTTGTTTAAATTTATAATTATTTCTGTTGGTTTTTATTTGCAGTAAATGAGTATGGAGTGTCAAACCTTAATTTTCACACGAAAAATGTGCGCTACAATGGTTGTGTATACATTTTTTTCTCTAGAAAACATATATTTAACACACATATAACATAAATTTTACAAATAATATTTATATACATTTTATAATATATCTTACAGGTGGAAAACGGCGACCAGTTGGAAACCATAACCGTTTCTCCGGGCATGCAGCAGATGTTAATTCAAGGTGCGCCAGGTACCGAACCACAAGTGCTGCAAGTCGTAAGTCTCAAAGATGCAACACTCCTTACCAAAGCAATGGAAGCTATTACCGGGGGAAATGTTAAGGCTGAGGATACCATAATAATGGAGCAATAAGTTACTTACAACAGTAAAACACTTATACGCCAGGAGTAATTGTCATTTTACAATACATATGTTTATTTTTTTATAATACACCTGCGGTCTAAATAATAGCAGTGCGACATTTTTTTTTGTTTCTTTAATGTTCAATAATATTTTATAAAAGAATAGCTAATTATATAAAAGAAACCATATTCCTACCTAAATTTCAATCAAAATTTCAATCTTTGCAAACCAATTATTAAAATTTAACAAATTTTCACCAAAATTTCAAACT